CTGGACATAGATGCCAGAATTTTGGATTTTTGGATTTTTTTGAACATTACAGTGTTTCGTGCACCCCATGCCCCATGAACCACGAATGCGTGGATCTTGGAGGGGGGGGCGAGCATATATATATATATATGTATATATATATATATATATATATGTATGTATATATACATACACACATACATACATACATACATACATACATACATACATACATACATACATACATATATTTTTTATATGTATATATATATATTGTACACATATACATCTACCTATGTATATGTATGTGCAATGTATGTGCATGAAACTCGCTCCTGCCGAGACTTTGCAACAACAGTTCTAGCTGATAGCTGAGCCCAGGCGGCGGCAGAGGTTTACCAGTCAAAGATTGAAGTCGCTGGCTAAATATTGAGAAAGCCCGCATCTTCTGATGTTGCGAGTGGTTCAATAGGAACCCTTGCAAGTCGTCTTTTTGGCTCTAGAACCCTATCACGACTCATGACGGAGCCCTTGAACAATTATTCCCTCACCCTAAACCCTAAACCCTAAACCCTAAACCCTAAACCCTCCCCCCCCCATCGGCGGTCCTTCTCAACTCTCGCTTGGAAAGGCCTTCGATGCCACTTTCTACACTCCGCGAGATGAAGGTGTCCTGCGGGATGGCCAGGGGCTTTAGGTGTAGGCGTGGGGTTTAGGCGAAAGTAGGTTATGGTAGTTTAATGCAAACCCTAAACCCTCAATCGCAACTCAACCCTGAAAATTCTAGGTAGCATAAGGGAGACTCCTTAACCTTACTTCTGGCTTTCTTAAAAGGGACCTTCTTGAGAGGGAAAATATCCCCTAGGGCCCCGCTAATCCTAACTCCCCTAAACCCTGAACCCCTAAACCCTAAACCCTACCTCCCCTAAACCGCCTAAATCCTAGACCCTAAACCCTAAACCCCTAAACCCCTAAACCCCTAAACCCTAAACCCTAAACCCTAAACCCTAAACCCTAAACCCTAAACCCCCCTCTAAGAAGCCGCACCTCGTCAAGCTGCTCATCCTTGAACTTCTGCATGCTCTTCCAGAAGTCTGCGGCCCCGGGAATGGGATCAGGGAACCAGGATCGGGTTTAGGGTTTTGGGTTTTGGGTTTAAGGGATTAGAATTTAGGGTTTAGGGTTTAGGGTTTAGAATTTAGGGTTTAGGGGTGTCCTGCATAAGGTTTGGGTTTAGGGGTGTATGGGCTTGGGGGTGTAGGTGTAGGGTTTAGGAGTTTAGGGTCTGGGGTATCTGCCATGGAGAGGATAACGGTAAGTCTGTAAGCATCCCTGTCTGAAAAAATGCAGTACGCGTCTGGAAGATTTGGGAAAGTCCAAACTTTCCAGAGGACTATCCACAGAGGTGCAAGATTCAGAGCTTGCTGTCTAGGCATAGGATTTTGGCTTCAATTTGTCGGGCTGCTCCGTAGATGCTTGGGGTGGTTGAACTTGGGGTTTAGGGTTGGGTTGCTGGCTCCCGGACCTTGTTTGGCAAAGGCTTGAGGCTGGCCACAAATGAAGGAGAGACATCCTTTCGGGGCCGGAACAACGGAGTAGGTTTCTGCTGCATCATGCATACCATAATTCCAAAAGGTCATGTCTCGGACGAGTGCAAACCCCCTACTGTCTTTAATGGAGGAGCCTTAACACACAGAATAGGGTCTTGGGGTATATTATGGCTATTATGGTATATTACACCATTATTATCATAAGGACCCCCCCAAAAAAAAGAGCACAGGAAATTATTTAGGCCTCCATATTCTATTCTTTGTGTCGGTGATGGCTTTGCTTGCTTGGCATGCCACCTCCGAAGGTCTCATAGCTGTTCAGCAAGGACGTCCCAAATGCCTCACGGACGTTGAGGGCTTGGGTTTCTCATGGGGCCCTTGGTTTTCTGGGCTTGGGGTCTAGGACTTGGGATTTAAGGCTTCGAAGGGCTATGGTGTAGGGCTTGGGCTTTGGGCCTAGACTTAGGTTTTAGGCTTCCGAGGTTTTGGCCAAGACCTTAGCAACTGCAGCTGGGCACCACAATAGAAACTACAATGGAGTGCAAGCGCTAAACCGAAACCGACGTTCCCGAAACCCTCAAGGACTAGATCAATATACCACCAGCTCCAATGTGACAGGATCTGACTCCACTCCTACAGGGCTATACGGGTATCACCCTGAAACAACAAACATGCTTCCTGCACCCCTTTTGGGGTTTAGGGCTCACGGGATTTAGGGTTTAGGGTTTAGGATGCGTTAGGGCCGTTTAGGGTTTCGAAATCCGAGATCAGGGGTTGAGGGGTGTAGGGTTCCGGCCGTCCGTTTTGGTTTTGGGCCGGGGAAGCTCGAGAAATGCGACTGTTGCATAAAGAGATTGTAAGGATTTCATGAGGGCAGATGGGGCAGAGCCCTCAGCACAGAGTTGGTGGGAAGACGTTTGTCGGCGCTCTTTCTTTCTCTTTGTTGGTCAGGCCCTGTGCCCCGCAGCGATGGGCCAACCCGGAAGATGAAGGCGCAACGACAGACCCAAATACTTACCCAACCCGGGAACTCAAGCAACTGCAACCCTTGCGGCCCTTGTGTACCAAGCCTTATTCCCAACCCCACAATCCCCACACGCAATGGAAACCCCTGTAACCCCACAGCCCCGCCTTACAAAAACCCGAACCCCTGAACCCTGAACCCTGAACCCTAAACCTTGAACCCTATAAACCCTAAACCTTGAACCCTAAACCCTAAACCCTAAACCCTAGAACCCTAGAACCCTAAACCCTAAACCTTCAATCCTAAACCCTGTACTCGAAACCCTGAGTTCTAAACCTCCAGCCTTGAACCCCAAACCCTAAACCCTGAACCCTAAACCCTAAACCCTAAACCCTGAACCCTAAACCGACACTCGACGCGACCCGAAGCCGAAGCCGAGGGCCGCTCCTGAAGAATCTCGAAACCTTCAGGATCCAAGTCCTTCAAAGAGGGCTTAGGGTCTAGGGTTTAGGGTTTAGGGTTTAGGGTTTAGGGTCTGTAGGGCTTGTAGGGTTTTTGGGGTTTAGGGTTTATAGGGCTTGTAGGGTTTAGGGTTTAGGGTTTATAGCGTTGAGGGTTTAGAGCTTGTAGGGTTTCGGGATCCAGGGTTTATAGGGCTTAGGGCTTGTAGGGTTTAGGGTTAAGGTGGTTTAGGGTTTGTAGGGTTGAGGGATTATAGGGTCTGTTGGTTTAGGGTTTAGGGCTTGTGGGGCTTAAGGTTTGGCGGAGGGGACTTTACCCTGAATCCTATTACAGGGAAACTGGAGCCCTTCTGACTGAGACTACGGTTTAGGGTTTAGGGTTTAGGGCTTGGGGCTTAGGGTGTTCCTAAGTCTGTCTTCAGGGGGAGGAAGCTTATAGTAGAACATAGGACTGCTGTAATTTTCGTTACTATCTTCGGGTCCGTAGTGTCACGGGGGGTCTCCAATGAGTCTGTACGAGTTCATTAATCTTAGTGGCTTCAGTCGGGTTCTTTCACTTAAACTCTAATTAAACCCTATAAGCCCTAAACCCAAGACCCTAAACCCTAAATCCTAAACCCTAAACCCAAGACTCTAAACCCTTATGAACCCCAAACCCAAACCCCCATCAGAGGGGCTCAGAAAGGGCGCTGGAAGGTCGGTTTCTGGTAAGCAGCAAGATCATAGCTTTCTGGTGTAAGGTCGGTTCATTGTTGGTCTGGCGCCTGGGGTTAGGGTTCAGGGCTAGTGGCAACAGCAATGCTGACCATGATGTTTAGTAGATAGAGACACCATTTTCCAAAGAAGACATGATCTTGATCGCACCGGAGGTGTCGGTAGTGCTACTTGGAGTGTCAGAAGTGCGGCGAGTGCAACCACAAGATGATGTCGGTTGTGCGGAACGCACATCCCCAACCTAGGTGTGTGCGTGTGTGTGGGTGTGCGTGCATACGACGCCTCTTGAAGAACAGGCAGCTGACCACCCGGCGACTACCCGTTATCCGACTACCCTAAACCCGAAAAGCATCCTGAATAATTAATTGGAATACTGCTGCATTCGACATTCTAGGCTGTGCAGTCATGTTGCTTCGAGGAGCATACACACACCCAGAGCCAGGTGAAACCTCGAAGCCGAAACCCCTAACTAACCCTACCCTAAACTCTCAACCGCCTAAGCCTAAGTCCACCCGAAGTCCTAAACCCTGGGAGCCTTAAAGCCCACTCAAGCATGCGAAACCGCCTGCATGGACATCAGAACCAAAGCTCGGGGCCACTTCCACTGCTCAGACAGAGGAAAATTAGGAAGTTTGGGGTTTCATCGCATTTAGATCCGGCTTTACTACAAAAACTTGGGAATGGAGTTTAAGACTGCACGACCAGCTTCAATGAAGAGCCGCAAAAGGTGTGTGTGTGTGTGTGTGTGTGTGTGTGTGTGTGTTTGTGTGTGTGTGTGTGTGTGTGTCGACGCGAGGCGCGTAAAATACTCCAAGGCTGAAACTCCACGCGGTCCATACTCCCAACCTCCCGAATCCTCGGCCCGAAGCTCTAAGCTCTAAACCCTGAAGCCCTAAATCCTCGCCCAGAAGCCCCCTAAACTTGTTAAACCAGACCTCAGATCCCTCAACTCCCAGCGCCCGAAGCCCCTAAAGCCGTCTGCCTCAAAAGCTCCAAATTCCGGTTTAGGGGATTAGGGTTCAGGGTCTGAGTTCCCACAAACCAGCTGGACCCTGCCCAACAACAACTTGAAAATGCAGGTTTCGGAGGGTACAGGTATGGCTAGAACCTCAACCCTAAACCCTAAACCCTAAACCCTGAACCCTAAACCCTAAACCCCTGTTCAGTAACACACTGGGACTTCTGTCCTGTTATTTTACTCGGAACCACAAACAAAGAAACAAAACAGGATACTGATGAACATCCTACTAAACCCTAAACCCTACGTGCTAATCCCTAAACCCTATTAATAAACCCTAAACCCTATACCCTAAATTAATCAAACTTCTGGAGCCCGAGCCCTGTGTCCTGGAAGGTGAACTCGTCTTTATCCCCGGAAATCTCTTCCCAAAGCTGCTTCACGCTGCCGGAGTACCTTTTGGAGGCTTTAGGCTTCTTGGGTTTAGGGTTTAAGAGTTTGGTGTCTAGGGTTTGGGGGTTTAGGGTTCCTTTGGGTTATTGGGGTTTAGGGCTTCGGGTTTGGAGTTGGTTTGAGTTCTGCCTGTATGTTCGGGCCTCAGTCAACACTCAGAAGCTTTGCTGATGAATCCTAGGTTCCCCAGTATCCCCTAGATAATAAGGGTACCCTTTTTCCTCTTATTTGGCTTTATTAAGGGAGCCCACAAACAAAAAGGGCAAAAGGGTACTACTGGGGAACCAGAACTAGAATCCCTAAACCCTAAACCCTAAACCCTAAACCCTGAACCCTAAACCGCAAAGCTTCTGCAGCGCCGAACGCACTCCGGGCATTGCTTTGGGGACTGAAGCTGCTCTTGCTGAACATGGCGGTCAACTTTAGGGTTTAGGGTTTAGGGTTTAGGGTTTAGGGTTTAGGGCATCCAAAGGTCTTTGCTGCCTGTTAATCTTGCTGGAGATGTGTCGAAGACCCACTCCCGACACCCTAAGTCAGTGCACGCGCCCGAAACATGTGCCTGTGCGCAGCCTGGTTTCGTATGAAAGGTGCGCCGGTAAAGTGGCATGAAGTCCTAGGTAGCACTCGCATAAAGCCTGCTCTATTCTGTACGAGAATAAGGGCGTCGATAAATAGACTAGGTTGCGGAGGTAGTGTGGTCCTGGTCAATTCAGGTGGTAGGGAGTTCCCTGAACAGCAATGCCCTTTGAGACTCCAGGAAGCAGCCGGCAGAACAACGGATGTAAACAAGTCCTAAACGGCTAATATAGGGGCCTTAACCATTAGAATAGGGTTTTGGGGCCCATTATACTATCATTGCAACATGGATCCCCCAAAAAAGTATTATTAGGCCATTACAATAAAACTTAACCCTCCAAAACCCGAAGCCCTAAATAAGTCAACTCCAACTGGGGCACCCTCCTGTCCTCTCAATGGCCATGACAAACTGCATGAAGGACTGGCGACCGGTGCCTGGAAAGCTACCTATACTCTCAACTGTAGTCTGTGTTTCCTGTACTCATAGCTTGATGTCTGGATATTTTGTGCAAAAATCAGAAACAACAGCACTGTCAAGTATAACCGGATCTTGGATTGGCAGCTTAGGAGCAGGACTGGGCCCTCTAGAACCTTCGGCTAACCCCCAGACTCCACACCGCTGTTGCTTCTTTTGTTCTTGTGGGGTTTAGGGGCTTTAGGGTTAAGGGTTTTTTGTCGATGCGATTCGGAAGTTTTACAAAACAAGGGCACCGAATTGACATCTTAAAGACTCAGGGCTAGGACCCTTAAAAGAACAAACCAGAGAGACCTCACTCTCTGAAACTCCCTCTTAGTATCCTGCTTCGGAGGTGGCCGTCTTACGCACGGCCGGTCGTCACTCCGGCGACACTCAACGCACGAGTTTGTATTCAATGTAGTTTCTGAAGGTTCCGTTATAGTACCGTAAGGATCCTTCCATTTCGGGAACAGTTTTGTATGGCAAAACCCCTCGTGTGTTGAACAAGCTTGTAATTGGCCAGGCCTTCCTGGGTGGATCTGGGCCTTGAGTCACTTCTTGTCTAGTACGAACAGGTACGAATAACTGTTGAGATTAAGAACACACACCGTCGTAGCAATAACAAGACAAAGAAACCCTAAAACCCAAAATCTACGCCCTAAACCCTAAACCCTCAGCCCTATAAACCCTAA